ATATTGACCTGGAAAGATATGGGCAGTTGGGTCCCACAAGGCTCGGTCCTTGGACCAGTGCTATTCAATGTCTTCATCAGTGACTTGGATGAGGGCATGGAGAGCACCCTGTCCAAATTCACAGATGATACCAAATTATGGAGAAAAGTTAACACACCAGAGGGTAGGGAACGGATCCGGGCAGATCTAGACAGGTTGGAAAAATGGGCAGAAGGAAATAGGATGCAGTTCAACAAAAACAAGTGAAAAGTGCTGCACCTGAGCAAAAAGAACCACCAACATACTTACAGGCTGGGGGATGAGCCTCTCAGCAGCACAGCAGCGGAAAGGGATTTTGGAGACATAGTTGACTCCAAGATGAACATGAGTCGTCAATGTGACAAAGTGATCAACAAGGCTAACCACACTTTATCATGCATTACCAGATGCATGATGAACAGGTCCAGAGAAGTGGTGCTTCCCCTCTATGCAGCACTGGTCAGGCCACAGCTGAAATACTGCGTCCAGTGTTGGGCACTGTACTTCAAGAGGGATGCGGAAAATCTTTGGAGGGTTCAGAGGAGGGCCACTCGTATGGTCAGAGGCCTGCAGGCAAGGCTCTGTGAAGAGAGACTGAGGGACCTAGATCTCTTCAGCCTTTGCAAGAGAAGGCTGAGAGGTGATCTTGTGGCTGCCTATAAATTCATCAGGGGAGGGCATCAGGGAATAGGAGATGCTCTATTTACTAGGGCACCCCCTGGAGTAACTAGGAACAATGGCCACAAACTGATGGAGAGCAGATTTAGGTTGGACATTAGAAAGACCTTCTTCACAGTAAGAGTTGCCAGAATCTGGAATGGGCTTCCAAAGGGAGTGGTTCTCTCCCCTGCCCTGGCAGTCTTCAAGAGGAGACTGAACAAGCACCTAGCTGGAGTCATCTGACCCCAGCACTCTTTCCTGCCAAGGTCAAGGGGTTGGACTCAATGACCTACTGAGATCCCTTCCAACATCTAACATCTATGAATCTATGAAGAAGACATCTGCAAATTCACATTGCAGTTGTGTGGTGGCAGTGTCTCACCGCAAAGATCAATTACGTTTTTTATTGGGATGCAAAATGGGGTTGTTTTAGTTGCAAAAAGTTAAATAGAAATAATTTTGCTCCAAGTATATGCAGTAGTGAAAGGTGTAGAGAAGGTGTAGCAAGCACTCCTATTAAACTTCTCTGACTACTAAAGAATGAGGAGAGAGTAAAGCTAGGGCAAATAGCAAACAATTCACAAGCGATTAAAGTATGTACCTTTTTTCTTACAATATGCAATTGGCTACCACCACCAGATATAGAATCCAAGAGCTCACTTTGACATAGACAAAAGGATTTGATATTGGTATAGATAGGGAGAACACCCAGCATTACAGCAGACTGGAATTGTAAAAAAAAAACTAAGGATCTGAACCTTCATGGTCTAGGGAATAATGCTAACCCTGAATGATGTAGATTAAGGAGGAAATTTCTCTTTGGAAAATTACTCCAAAGGACACAAAGGAATAGCTATCAGGAAACATGCTGAGGTGAAGGGAGCTAAGCCTATTGTGCAAGAAACAAAGATGAACGGATGCATGAGTCCCAACATATACCCCAGAACCAGAGTACAGTTTGAGCTCTTTGAACACTTTGAGCTTTTTTCATGAAAACATGGGTCAGCAGGTATAAGCAAACACACGTAAAAACTGCAAAGCTGCCTGTTTATGGAAACATGAAGTTAGAGAGATTCACATATTTAGAGAGCCATTTCTTAAATAATGGAAACTGACAACGAGTTGTGAATAAATGAGTGATTATGTCTGCAGCCATCACAAGGAATCTTATTACTGCGATGAGCTAATGTAGCCCCATTCATATATCCATAGCCCATCATAAGTCTATTAAGGAAGCATCTGTCACAAAATCATGATGTTTTTAAATACTTGACAAAGGACATAGTAAAAATAACGCCTACTTAAACCTTGCATGTTTCCCTGGGTGACATAATTCTGTGATTTTTCACTGAAAATGAATAATGAAAATGATGGGGAGTAAAAATATAAGATAATCTGAGTAGGCTGAACAGTGGGTTTGTTTTTCAGTTTCACAGAGACATTGGGATTTTTTTTTTAAATTAAATGGAATATAGCATATGAGTAGGAAATCAAATGATGAAAGTCGCTTAGTAAAGAGTTTGAGGTTCTTTCAATTCAAAAGACACCTGGGTTCACTCAGGGCATAAATGAAAATCAACTTAGTAGGTTTCATCCTGTTCTTCTATTTTTTTACATCACAAAACCTCCATAAAAACAAAATTTCAGCATGATCTATACAAGAAAGATGGGTGAATCTATCTTGACTAAGGTTTTCAAAGAAGTTTAAAAGAATTAGATACCCAAATACCATCAAATGTCAATGGGTATTGGGTTCGTAATTCCCTTAAGCTCTTTGAAAATCCCAGCCTTTATCAATTTATCTGTTTGTCAGTCTGTCTCTTTAGGCACTTGCGTGGTCCCTGCTACCTTGGGATGTGAGCAGTACCCAGTATTTAGAAATAAACTGCAATCCCATCCCACATGAAGTCAAGGAAAGTTTAGCCATTAACTTCAGCGGGGCCAGGATTCCTTTACCATAAGTTTGCAGTTTCCACTACCATAATTTTTGGATTGTTACCCAAGCTAGATCACAGCAGTGTTGCTACCAGCTACCACTCTAATAATGATGATTAAGCCAAGTGGAAAATCGTGAAAAGTTTAATGGCAATCGTTTACCTAAATTATCTAACCAGGCATAGTTTGCAGACTTTGAGTTGGTTCCTATGCAAATAAATAATTAAGTCCAATTCATAAAGCCAGTGACTTACACTTCATCATACAAACCAATGTTCCTGCTTTCAGCCACCTTGTTTTTCAATATTAATGCACGGAGTCCTTTATAACTACATTAGAGTATTGGAGACCGTCTTGTAGCATGCTGTGCACAGTGGCCTTATTTCGCAAAGTACTTAAGCTTGTGGCCCACCTTAACCATGTGCATAGCCTCACCAATTTCAGTGGGATTGTGTTAAGTGCCTGCTGAAGCATATTGCTGGATCAGACCATTGCCAAGCCCCAATCAGAAGCAAGTTCTTATTGGCCACATCTACACATGCATTTTACTGGCTAATCAGTTGTGGAGTAAAGCATCCCTATCTATACATGCAATGGTATTAGGTCACAGTAAACTAATTTATGATGCAATAAAATAGTACTGCCGGGGGCAGTATGTGATTAAATGCACATGTAGACACTGGTCATAGGCATAAATTGTGCCTGGTCAGCCCAGCCAGCAGGGAACCAGACTCCTGCCTACCGCCTAGCCACACAGTTCTGCACTTTCAGCACCCTCATGCCTCAGCCAGCCCAACATCACCTGACACCACCACCCAGAGCTCAGGACTGAGTTACCCTGGCATAAACTCCTCTACCCTGACTCAAATTGCTCCTGTTCCGGACACACGTGTAGGCGCTGTGCCTGGAGTAGTTTACTCTGGCTCAAATTGCTCAGTAGTTTATTGGTTTGCATTAATTGCACATGTACACACACCCACTAAACCTTATATTTGTGTATACCATGGAAAAATGAAGCCCTTAATAGTTACCTGGGTCGATACTTTTAAACATTGGTGCTGAAGTTAAATAAAATAAAAGGTTCTTTGCTCTAAGGACATGTCAACATTGCCTCTGAGCTACTTTGGAGGCTGCCACTGAAAATTAAGCCCTGGCCACCTGCTTCTGTTCTGTGTACTCACCCATAAGTCAGACAGTGGGATGTGCTGGGAAGACCCCTACAGCTGTTCTCTGGCATGACAGAAACAGATCTTGAAAACAGCAAGGTGGGGCTCCAAGAATGTGTTCTGCCCCCTGAGTTCCAGGTTTGGAGGGCACAGAGCCAGAGTGAGTGGACATGGCTTATTTTTCAGTGATAGCCTTGATAGCTGATGTAAACACACCCCACAAATAACTGCACAGTGCAGCTGTGACATGCTCACCCAAGCTAGCTGGGGCAGAACTAGCACTCTACTTGTGGTAGCACAGAGCCTGGCAGGGGCTCACCACCCAAGGTTTAACCCTGATTCACATACATATTTTGCAGCCCATGTTGAATTCAATGTTAAGCATCAATACATTGCTCCTAGTAGCCAACTAATTAATCTCAAGCTGCCTGAGGTGTATCTATACAACACAACACAGCCTTCATGACAGTGTAGACATGTCATACTTCTCTACCTGCTGTATGTGTTTTTCTTTCCTCCTCCCAATTTATCTATCACTATTTGATAACCATTTACATTATAAAAGAACACAAAATATGCCGGGTGCTCTGCAGATACAGAAGACACTCTCAAGAAGCTGATATTTTGGGAGAAAAAATTTGGAAATGAACATTACAAAGAAAACATAACAGTATTCTACAGCAGCATCTCAGAACACTACACTGCCTGACAGCTTAATTAAAAAAACCCCAATGTTTTGATCAAACAGGGATCTACAGTGTTGTAAGAATATTCAGGACATGGAGCAGCTTTTTGTTCCACATACATACAATATGAACCCAATGGGCCCTGGTACCCCTTTGCAGCCCTTGGGCACTACTGCAGTGAATAATATTAATTACATAATTCACAGTCTGGAATCACATCACTCAGGACATGATTGTTTAAGGTCCTGACTCTAGTTCAGAGTTGGATCTAGTTATCTGGGCCAATATGGTTTGATTTAAAGGTTTTCAATGCAGATTTTTTTCTTGACAAGAATATGAACAGCTTGGAAAAATAAAGCCAACATTGATTAATATGTAGTGGACACTGACTGAACAGGGGATTGGACTAGATAACCTTTTGAGGTCCCTTTCAGCTCTCTTTTTTCCTGCATTCTCAATTCTTGGATTATCATAAACTAACAAAGTTTCTTGAGCTTCTTATTCTTATGGTTTTGTTTTGTTTTTCATTTCATAGCTACCTAGACAGCTTAGATAGAATCGGAGCTGCGGACTACCAGCCAACAGAGCAAGATATCCTTCGGACCAGAGTCAAAACAACCGGCATTGTAGAAACTCATTTCACATTCAAAAACCTCCACTTCAGGTTAGTCTGGTGTAAATGCAGTGTTATCTTTTCAGACAGTGAATGTTGGCATTATGTGATGACAGCTATGGTATCTTGGCTCAAATTTTTTCTGTCCCAAACCTGCATAATATACCATGCATGATTTATTTAACTAGCTGCTGTGCTCCACCTGAGCGAGAACCAGATTTCTGCAGGGCTACAACTATTGGCATAAAGTGTTTTAAAATGGTTCACCATTCTGCTATGGAAGGCACAGCTTGACTTACATTAGGTAAGATTTCCCTATGGACAAGTTATTCTACATGTGCACGTAACAGAGGGGGTTTTTTTATGTTCCTCAGAACCATCAGTGCTGGAGAGACAATATGAAAACTAAATATACCACTGGGCCAGTCTAGCTTCATAAATGTAAAAATATCGGACTGAATTCTCACCTAAATGGGATAATGCTATGTAGGTGAATGGAAACGCTTCCAATTGACACTTGAGGGGTATGCCAGTAATTCTTCTCTCAAATGCAGGGGGAAAGATGTTTCGAGCACGTTTTATTATGTACTACAGAATCAAGGGCTGTTCTCATGAAGGCACCTCACCTGTGAAGTCACCAAAGTCCCCAAAGCAATCTACCCACAAACAAGCTATGCTGTCATGAGCTTCCCTGCTAGCAGGTGTCCTTAGGATTCTCCCTTGCAGAGGGAGGGGCTCCACACCTCAAAGGAAGCAGTAATGTGAGCTATTGCAGGCTCTGTTGCCCTATACCTGGAATTGTCTGGGGATGAATACTGAGAAATGCAAAGGTATCACTAACATTTCCTCTTTATTAATGAAGAATAAATGAAGAGCCGTCCCTGTTTCATGCACAGGCTGTTCGATGTGGGAGGTCAGAGATCAGAACGTAAGAAATGGATTCACTGCTTTGAGGACGTCACAGCAATCATTTTCTGTGTGGCGCTGAGTGGTTATGACCAGGTGCTCCATGAAGACGAAACCACGGTGAGTGCTTATCAAGTGATGGAGGCCCAGACACCTTATCACTGCCCTGTCAAATAGCCTTCTGTTGTTCAATGATTGCCTTCCATTCTATTATCATACAAGATTTGTGTGCTTTTGATAATCATATGTCTTTCCTTGACTCTGAAATGCTGTGGAGATTCCTTTCTTCTCCCTATTTATGGAATTACGTCTGCCATTTCCCAGAGTGGAATTACTACAGCTTATAGCTGTGGTAACAGCTCATTGCTCTGATTAGGTTAAAATGTTTTCTTTTCTCTCTAGTTGATCTATGTGAATTGTCTTGGGATATGAAAAGGACCTTGGAGCCAAAGGGTAGGGCAATAAGCAATGGTGGTTTTGAAAATAAGCTTCAGGAAAGACAATAATCAGCAGCAGCATCTAGGTACAGAAAGTTATACTAACACCATGAATATCTCAGTCAGATTCAAGCTATCAGGAGAACTTACTTTTAACTGCAGAAGAAATTCATTTTCAGGAGTTACACTGAAAGTGTTCTGTTTCTTGGGGAATGTGTTTAATAAAAGTCTTGCAACTTCCTGCTGTAGTACTATGCTTGAAATACCACAGCTGTGTAAAAATAAAAGAAAGCAGGATGTATTGGCTCTCTGATGTTTATGTAGAACTACCATTCACCTGAATAAGTAAGACGTATGCACATTTCAAGATTGAAATAATAGCATCATTGCTTTTCACCAGCTACACGTGGCATACAAAAAGACAGATATATATGCATTTGGGAAGTTAGGCTGTCAGACACAGGACTGATGAGCAGTTGAGATTGTCATTTAAAAGTAGTTACATTTGCCTGACTATGAAAAACCAAAAGCCAGACCAAAAGCTTGGGAAATGTTTTCTTTGTGGCTAATACACAACATCAGAAGTGGTTGCTGTGGTCACCAGATTCTGTACTAGGCTCTGAACTTCATTCCTTTCCTATTGCTAAAGAATCAGATGTTAAAACTGGCAGGATAGAATTCTAAAAATCAGTTTATAATTTGTAGACAATCAAGTATTCCTAAACAGACTTTTTTGGTAATGATATCCTGTATCTTCCTCATCAGAATAATTAATTCTGTTAAAGAGATCACCTACTTGCATAAATCTTCTATCACATCACATCACTCCTGAATTTAAACTGATATTACTGTTCATTACCATATAAATAAATCAAGCCTGAGACTGAGATTCTTTACTGTCCCTAACCCACTCCATCATCACTAACTGATAGCTAACATCTTCCACCACCTGTGGATCCCATTATAATTGGCTGAGTTTTTCAAAAGCTTAAAAGAAAATGAAAAACTGACTTTAAAAATCAATTATATGTAGACATTAAAGCCTTTTAGTGTCCACAGAATCCCAGCCATCAACTCTGGGGTCAATTTTTTGTAATAATGCTACTGCCATCTGTCATATAGATCTAAAATATTAGGACACATATCTGTTTTGTGTCTGCTTGTTGGCCATTTTTTCCTAATCCCCAAGAGATGGTCACCCATCAGAAAGAGGAAATCTGCATAGGCCCAAGGGCCTTGCCCCCCCTTGGGAAAAGGGTAGGGTAACCACCCATCTCAAATTGGGTGGGACAGTCCCAAAATGGGAACACTAAGTCCCAGTCCTGAACTGCATGACTCCAGGACAGCATTTGTTCCGGATTTCCAATGTCGTGCAGGGAGCCGGGTTTTCTGTTCACTGCGGGGAAAAAACAGGAAATGGAGGGTTTCCCCTTGCAGGCTGACACAGTTCCAGCCTGTAAGGGGTGGGGGAAGCAGGATGCAGGGGTGCCACATACACATACATATGAACATGGGTAGGAATATAGCCCCAGGCAACAGTGGAGAGCCGATCCTCCAGCTGTGTGCCAGTAAGTCTAGGGGGAGAGGGGAACAGGGCGGGGCAGATCAAGGCCCCCACGGTGAGGGAGGGAGTGAGGCAGGTGCTAGGTCTGGGGCCAGGATGGGGAACAGGACAGAGCCACAGGTGGCTCATTCAGGGGTCAGGAGGGGGTGGCTCCCTGCTGTTGCATACACCAACAGGCTGCCATTTTATTTCCATTTAAATTTTGTTTTACCATGTATTCCCTCGGCAGTAGGAAGGCACATGGATTCTCATAGTTTACCCATTTTATCATCAGTCTTTGAATGAATACTTGCAAGTTTAAACAAAATATATTCCAGTAGAATGCTCATTTAATCTAAATAAAATGAATCCCTACTGAGCTCTGCACAAATAGCTAAGAAAAATAACAAAGTTTAGTATTGTCACTGTATTCTTTCTAAAATACAGACTTCCTATGAAGGTAGGAGTTGAAACCACTACCACCATAGGCAATAGAGCTTCACTTGGTTTCACTACCACCCTCCAGTTAGGGACAGTTTTGCCTACAGCTTTAGCCTACTGTTTCCTTCCTATAGAGATGATTTGCTCTAAAAAGCTAACAGTGAAAGCTGTTGTCAGCTGATTTTGCCAACACCTGATTTTGCCATCTGTGTGCATCAGTCACAATGCTGATTTTATTAATGAAAATAAGCTGTTGCTGCTGCTTGCTTGTTGACACAAAGGCAATAAAGTTTAGAGAATAAACTGAATTATTTTCTTCCATATACATCTCCTGTAGAAATGCTAAGTGCTGGTTGTTTGCACCTGAGCAATACCCTTGAATGCACCTTGGCTGAACAGGTGTCACTGAGAACAGGCATATGACAACTTACAGAGTCCTTATTACTGGTGATGATATGGAAGGAAAAAAATACCTGGCTTGAGTGCCAGATTCCAGGATGTTTTTGATGTGAACTGAGCATATCATTGACAATAATCATGAGGGCTCACAGTGCCATTTTACACTATATTGAGTAGAATTATACTTTAAGAGGGTGAAACTTTAGTTAAAATGCAGTCAGCCTGTAACAGGCTGCAGGCTGGCAGCCTGGAGCAATTAGCCAGCTGGTAACAGACCACCCGCCTAAGGGTAGGGGTGTGCAAAATGGGCCGTATTCGATTCAGATTCGGATTCATCCTGAATCGGGGGCAGTGATTCAATTTGTTGATTCGGCTTACTGTTCCAGATTCGATTCAGCCAAATCCAAATCTGATGATTCGATGCTGATTCGGAGGATCAGCAATTTGGCCATAGACACAGCTTTAACTGTTTTTTCTACATACCTCGAGGTACCAGGCGTGGCTCATGAATGCTGCAATGGTGGGGTGGGTGGAGCATCCCACAGGAGTGCAAAGGGCTCCCCTGCATGCTCAGTGGTGAACCTGGAAGTAGCCTGGAAGTACTGGTGCACTTCCGGGTCCACCAGGGAACACACTGCCCACCCCCAGCCCCCTGGCTCAGCAGTCGACCGTGGGAGTACCCTGGGTGCCCCCCCAGACCCAGGAGGCACCAGTCGCCAAGCCAGGGGGACTGCTGGGGACCTGACAGACTTGGAAGTGGACTAGAAGTGCTTCTGATCCACTTCCAAGTCTGCTGCCAAGCATGCTGGGGCCCCACCCCCACCCCGTGTTCCTGTGGGATGCTTCAACTGCTGCACCATCACAGCATTCACGAACCACCTGCTACCTTGAGGTATGTAGAAAATACATTTAAATCAGTGTCTATGTCCAGATCTCCAAATCTTTCCAAATCAATTCGGAGCGTTCCGATTCGATTCAGAGAGATTAAAGGGTCTCCTGATTCGATTCAGATTCAGAAATTCGGCCACAGAATTGGGTCGAATCTCCGCTAAATCGAATGAAGGACCGAAGCTTCGCACAGCCCTACCTAAGGGGCCACAGCTGGCTCAGTTGATTGGTAATGAGGGGAAGTTGATTGGCTGACCCAACAGTAAAAGGAGACAGGAAAAGGAAGTGAGGGGGAGGAGGACCAAGAGGGGAGAATGTTTGCTTAGAGAGGGAGGACTGATTGGAAGACCAGAGGGTGAGAACTGACTCTGGCTGGGAGAGTTTATTCTGGAATTGTTTTGTTTTAGCAACTGAGCCCCATCTTGCAGATTAACTTGGGGCTTTGAAGCTTGTGTTGCTGGGCACATGCTACAGGTGTGTTCATGTGAATGGTTTGCTCTTGCCTGAGCCCTGGAAAGCAAAACACCCAGGGCATTACAGTTTGTGTTTCTGAGCCCAGAGAAAGACTGTTGCTGGGACCAGATTCAGGGGCTCAAGGACTGATATGAGCCAGGCTAGCTGGCACTTCAACTGGTAGAGAATGAAAATAACTTGAAACCTCCCTCCAAGGATGGAAAAGGAGACCCTTTTGCAATACCTCCAGCTGCAGGACCTGCCATTTCATCAACTGCAGCTGCAGGAACAGCAATTTCAAAGAGATCTGCAGCAGCAATGGCAGGAATTTCAAAAAGAGCTGCAACTCCAACAGCAGGATTTCTTACAACGGCAGATGGCATGGTAGAGGAACGTTGCTCCGGGGGTGGAGGCCCTGTGCACCCTGGGAGCGAGCCTGGGGTTCTGACCAAGGTGGGGCCAGGCAGTGGCCCAGAAGCCTTCTTGGCCACATTCATATGTGTGGCAGAGAAGTACTGGTGGACCCAGGACACCTGGGCCATGCAGTTGGCCCCACTTCTTATGGGGGAATCCCAAGCTTCTTTGGGGTCACCAGTGGCTCAAGACAATAGGATGCTTAAAGCAGCAATTCTCAATCACCTGGGCCTCCCTGACGATGCCTACTGATGATGGTTTAACAGTGAGGCCTGAGATGCTCGCACCTATCCCCAAACTATGGCTTGGAGATGAAAGGATTTATATACCTGGTGGCTCCACCCAGATACCAGATCTGTGGGGGAGACTGTGGAGCTGGTGGTACTGGAGCAATCCTAGCAGAGATGTGCAAGTGGGTGTACCACCTCCATGTGGCTACTCTAAAAGAAGCCATTAGGAGGGCAGAAGATTTCTGGGGGTGGAACTTAGGTGTCGGGACCTCCTGGAGAAGTTGGCGGCTAAGCAGTAAGGGAAAGCCCAATGAG